GCCCCTATTATAATTAATTAATTTTTCAAAACAAGGTACAGGTGGGTCTATGCTTGTCCATGCTTCAAGGCAAATGGGCTTTCGCATGAGGGGGTGTGTTAGAGAATTAAAAATCCTATTCATGGATCTCACCTAACAACTTAAGCTTTTAGGTTAAACGGTTCTTTGAGAATTATAACTTCAGAAAGTTAAGAATATAGAAGTATCCAAGAACGCTATATAAAAATATCTTGGCAATTAAGTGAGGCACCCTCCATGAGTGCCTTATCATGTAGGCACCACTCCACATGTTAAGCTACCTTGGTATCCTAATTGTCATAGTTAGGTTGCTAGTAGGTTGTTCTTGTATCATTTGGTGTAGCAATAGCAGACATGCCTTCATTGGTTTATTTGGTTTTTCATTGATTAGTAGTAGCATGTTTGTGCTTTATTGGATGGTCACAGAAAGATGTTATGACTATGTGAACTCATGAAAATCAAATCACACAATCATGCACTCACCGGGTGAATTTGGTTTATCCTTCGATTTATAGCATATTTGCGTTCTTTTAGAGGCCACAAGAAAGTGTTATGATTATGTGAACTCATCAGTCCACATGTTAGGTTACCTTCGTATATCTTGATATTCCTAGTAAGGTAGTGGATCCTAGAAGTAGTCTTTATTTTATCATATGATAACAGGTAGTTCATGTATTACTTGGTGTGGAAAAAACAAGCATTCACTAACTGGGTAATTTCGTATTTCATTTGATTGATAGAATGTCTATGTTTTATCGGAGGGTTGCAAAAAAGTATCCTTATGTTGACGAGGAATGATCACTTAAGAGGAGCTTTTGAAGGATTTCCTTTTCTGGTGTTTTAATTGTTTTTTTTATTTTTTAAGTTGTTTCATGTAGTTGTTTGATCTGTGGTTGTCTGTTTTGTCGGGCAGGTGTGTGATTGTTGGTGTGTGGTGCCGACTTGGCACCATTGGAGGCTGTATCAAGTTTTTCTTTTCTCTAATATAATTTTCTTTTTTACCTATTCAAAAAAAAAAAAAAAGTATTGTGTCCATGTGGACTAATCAAAACCAAATCAGCTAGGCATGCACTCACAAGGTGATTTGATTTTAAATTTGATTATTAGCTTGCTCATGACTTATTGGAGGGTCACAAGAAAGTTTTGTGACCATGTGAACTCATCAAAATCAAAATCACCCAAGCATGAACTCACTAGGTGATTTGGTTTTTCTTTTAATTGATACCATGTTAAATGTTTTATTGGAGAGTCACCAGAAAGTATTGTGACCATGTGAAAACATCACAACACATGTTAGGCTACCTTGGTATTTCTTGATTGTCATAGTAAGATAGTAGACCTTAGAGGTAGTCTCTATTTTTTCATATGTTAGTGGGTTATTTTTGTACCATTTAGGGTAGGAAAAAGGCATAAACTCATTAAGTGATTTGATTTTTCAACTGATTATGAGTATCTCTATGCTTTATTGTAGGGTTGCAAGAAAGTGTTGTGACCATGTGGATTCATCAAAATCAAATCACCCAGGCATGCACTGATTCAGTGAATTGGTTTTTCATTTGATTGATAGTATGCTTGTGCATCATTGGAGGGTTGCATAAAAGTGTTGTGGTCACATGAACTCATCATTCAACAAGTTAGGATACCCTAGTATTTCTAAATTGTCATAGAAAGGTAGTAGACCCTACAGGCAATTTCTATTTTTTCCAATGTTCAAAGAACCAGACCCGGCATAGAACCAGAGAAGGGAGGGTTCATGGGTCAGAGGTTCAACCAGGGTCGAACCGTGATGACGTGGCACGTGGCATATATATGTTACAGGTCATATAAATACTATATATAATATAGTTTACAACTTTTAATATACTTAAATATGGTGTATGGATAGCAAGTTCCTTATTTTGTAAAGAAAATAACTAGGGTTCTAGTCTCTTAATTTACATTTTCTTTAAAATACATGCATAATAAAGTCATGTGTGCAATAAAGAGTCATTAATTAACACAAGTTAAGAGGTGGACTAATGGTAATTAAGCAATATATGAAAATCATGGGTTCAAATCTTGTTAAACACATTTTAAAATTTCAATTGGAAAAAAGACCTGGGTGGTTTCATGAAACTGGGAACGGTACACCGGTTTTCTGGTTAAACCAACCCATCAGCTAGTTTTTTAGCAAAATCAATTATTGGGGTAAGACCAAACCAGCCAAGGTCTCGGGTCACAGTTCAGCCGGTACGGTACGGTTTTCTAAACACTAGTGTTTTCATACATTAGTGGGTTGTTAATGTGTCAATTGGGCAATGTTTTAAAAGCACAAGGTGCCAAAGAAAAAAAACACAAGGGGCACTTTGTGCCCAAGGTGAAAGGCACGAGGTGAGGCGTGTGCCTTTTCGAAGCAAGGCGCAAAAAAAAAACAAAAAAAAAGTAAATGCCAAAAAAATTAAAAGAAAATAAACATAATATGAATAAAAAATAAACTTAAATTTTAAAATAAATGTTTTAAAAAACCTATTATCTAATATTAAAATACACAAACATAGCATGTAAAGTGTATTCAAATTAAAATTTAAAAATAAAATCAAATATATAAAACATTTTCAAGCATGTAAAACCCACAATCTCTTTTTTTTATTCAATTGCATTACTTCCAATAGCTAATGTGGTGTAAAACATCTTGCATTCCTGATTCTACGAGCCACCTTCGTACCAAGCCCCTTCAAGCAAGCCCAAAGAAATCCAAGTTGGGGTTTAAAATTCTTAATCCTCGCACACACAAAAAAAAAAGATTTTATAATTTTAATTGCCTTTTATGCGAGTGAACCAGAGCTCTAAGAACCCCCTATTTGCTAATGTTGTTCATTCATTAATCATAATAAAATATCTTCTTAAAAGACAATTAAAATTATAGAAATTGTTTTATGTGTGAGGATTAAGAAATTAAGACCCTAACATGGATTTCTTTGGGCTTGCCTCGAGGAGCTTGGCCAAGGATCCAGGGGCGAAGCCCTAGCCCAACTACTAGGATAAAAAACAAAAAGCACAAAAAAATTAAAAAAAAAAAGCACATGCTTGGGCTGAAGCAAGGTTCAAATTTTTTATACGTATCGGGGCGTAGCGTATCGTATCGTTGACTTCACGATATGCCTATTTATAGGTGTTTCAGGAACCGACCTCTTTTTAATGAAAAATGTGGTTAAAAACATGCCTAAAAACCAAATTTTGAAAAAACAACCATAAAAGCGGGTTATTTTAAGTACCGATACGCCTCTGCCGATACACAAGGGTGTATTGATATTTTGAACCTTGGGCTGAAGAGCAAGGTGCACCAAGCACTCGCCTTTTGAAAGTGTTGTTTTTGGGGCCTAGGTGAGGTGCATACCTTAAAATGCGCATACTTGAGCGCCTAGGTGTGGCTTTTAGATCATTGCATTTAGGTAGCAACAATAAGAAGCACTCATTGGATAATTTGGTTTTTCGTTTGATTAATAGCATGTCTATGTTTTATTAGAGGGTCACAAGTAATTGTTGTAATCATGTGAGCACATCAAAACCAAATCACCCAAGCAAACACTCACTGGGTGATTTGGTTGATAGCATGTCATATTTTATTAGAGGGTCAAAAGAATGTGTTGCGCCCATGCGAACTCATTGCTCTACATGCTAAGGTATCTTTGTATTTCTTGATTGCCAAAGTAAGAGAGTGGACCCTAGAGTCATAATATCCAAGGCATTGAGGTGAGGCTAGACAACAACGGAGGGCCTTATCGCCTAGCCACTTAGGCTTTTTTTTTTAATAAAAACCATGAATCTTAGGACCATTCCCTAGGTTCTATAACAAGTAGTAACCATGTTTCACTATTAATTGTTTATAATCTTCGTAAAAAGTGTATAAGCTTCATTTGAAACATAAAAATCAACATATTCATGAAAAAAATGGAAGAAAGAAAAAATTAGAAAATAGAGGGGCTGAGCCTCTATTGTTGTCATAGGAAAATAAGAAAAGAAAAGAAAGGGTGAAAGAAGAAGAAGATGATGATGATGATGATGATAAGTTGATAACAATGATTGAACCCTAACAAATGAGATAAATTAAAAAAAAAAAAAAGGAACTTGTATTTTAACTTAAACTAAATAATTTAGTTTAATAATGTCTATTTTATTAATGACAATGAAGTTAAGTATATAAAAGTATCCAAGAGCACTGTGTAAAAAATGTCTTAGTGATTAAGCAAGGCACGTGAGTGCCTTATTGCTTAGGTGTCACCTTGCCAACTATGTATGTTGAGCAGGTTGGGCTAGATTTAGGGCCAACCCAGGCACAAATCTAATACATGGGCTTTGGGTCTAGATCTGGCCCAACCCAGGGTCAAAGCCCAAACTAAATCTAACAAACTACAACTGAGATATTGCTTGTTTGGGGTTGGAGGTTCAATTAGCCTAGATGAGTTGGCTGGTATGAAATTAGGCAGTTTCCATGATGACCGAATACCTCAAAAACGTTAACCAATCAAAAACTCGTGTTAATTTAAAAAAATAACAGATGATTAGTTACCAATTGGATGATACCAGTTGGCTGGTTATTATTTTTTTAGGTACGATACCTTTTTTGGCATCATAGTCAGACTCATGAAACTAAAGTCTTTTTTCAATAGTTTCTTACCAGGTTTCTCATAAAACTTTAACTTTAACTTAAAAGAATACCAGTTAAATCGTTAGCAATTGAATAGTACAGGTTGATTGATTATTAGTCATTTAGGCATGATACCTTTCTGGTATCATAGTCAGACTCATGAAACTAAAGTCTTTTTTCAAAAGTTTCTTACCAGGTTTCCCCATTGCAAGGGTTTTCTTGCTAGTATCATCACAATTCACAAGAGAGAAATATTGGATACGTAGTAGTAAATTATAAATTATATGTCCGTAGCATTGTGGTAAAAGAAATAAAGGTACCATCTAGACAACCAACGGGACAGTGCATATCTGACCTGAATACAGTAATCAGTACTATGAACACCCCAGTGATCTGGTAAGCCCTGGCCAGAATCCATGGTTGATTGTGTTAAACATGCACGTAGACCCAACAACTCCACTGCCCTTGCCATTCCAGAGACATGCTGCCCACCTGCTTCAGCAAAGCATGTTACCTGATTCAAGAAGCCAAAAAGAACATAAAATAAATTACACGCCTACCATACATCACAATTAAACTACCTTATAAGTTATAACTTATAACTACTTGGGATCAAATTAAATTTTTAACGGGAGTGCAAAGTGCTTGCGCTGAAAAGAAAAGTAAGATGATGATTAGCACTTTACTGACATTAGATAGAAATTCACTGCCTACAAAAGTAAGAAAAACGACGGGGCACCAAAGCAATAGGAGGAAAAAACAGACAGATGAAACCATTTTATTTTAGTTGATCGTCGACAACACTTACACCAGATCGTATGAGTTCAATTCCACAGAGTAAAGTCGAGATATACGAATCCTCCTCCGTCATGTTTGATTCATAAGGCCAGATACGTTCATGTAACCAAGTCAATAAATCAACATCATCAGCTATCCCTCTCGCAAGCTGTTGAGAGGTGTGAACGTGTGTATTCACAAACCCTGTTAATATTCGAGTGACTATGCCTAAGTATAACAAAAAGAAACTCAAGGGTTTCAACAACCGGAGATTAAACTTTAAAACTACTGGGATCAAACAAATGTTAACGGTGAAGTAATACACGGTTTTCAGTAGTGTCAAAATGGAAATCTGGGGCTTCAACAACCGGAGATTAAGTTTTGAAACTACTGGCATCAAAATCAAACGTCGAAAGAGACCTGGAAGTAATATACGGCCGTTAAGGTCGACAAGCTCCCCTGCAATGGCAGAGAATTCGTGAAAAATCTCGGCAGATTGACCAATGGCTTTGATTCTGTCTGCTTCCACAACGAGTCCACCATTTCGGAAAACCCGCTTCTGGGGATCCATCGTTATTATTACCGCGTTATGGAACAAGATGACTGAACCAGTATTCGCCTCCATCGCTCGTTGTAATCGCCTGAAATGTAGGATTATAGATACAGGAATTAGGAAATCAGGGTGAAGCAATTTAGAAGAAAAGAAATCATCTATATAACTGGGGTTCGACTATGATATGGAAAGCATTTGATAAAAAATTTTCGACCAATCAACCGGTATCATAACCAATCAGATCAACTGGTATCATAAACATCATAGCATAGTAGCCAATCCAATCAGGGGTTATTTATCAAAATTCATGGGTGGTTTTGATTGATCAAAATTCATAGATTCTGCATGATAGATTTTCCATATAATTGTATATTAGATTTATAGTGATTGGAAGTTATAATTTAGTAATTTGATCAATAAAAAGTCAATAAAAAAGAAAATAAATCTATTAAGAAAATAAATGAGAAAAACAATAAATTTGAGATATTATATTTAGAATAGTTATAAAAAATAAAGTATCATTTGTTATTTATCTAAGGCTATGTTTGGGAGTGCTCAAGTTAAAAGTAAGTGTTTATTGAATAAGTGTTTGAAAATAAGTGCTTATTTGAATAAGTACTTATTTGTATTTGGCACTCAACTTTTTCAAGTACTTATTTTTTTAAATTAGCACTTATTTTATATTGGGCGTCACTTTAAATAAGCATTTGTGACTATTTTGTCCTTTATTTTCTTTTAAATTTTTAAAATATACCCTTTGAAAGCACTTTTATTAAATTATTTTTATAAAAAACACTTTTATGAAAGTACTTTTATAAAAATAATCTTGGAAAAGTGATTTTATAAAGTGCTTATATATATATATAATCACTTTTATAAAAGTTCATAAAAATGCTTTCATAAAATTACTTTTATAAAATTCAACTAGGGATAATTTTATAAGTGGTATTTTAAAATTCAACTAGGGATAATCATGGAGGAAAAAAAATTGAATAAGTGCTTATTGTATGAGCACTTAAAAAAGCTGGAAATTGAGGCTTAAAACTAAGTCCTTATTTTTAAAATAAGCACTTATTTCGGGCTTATTTCCCAAATACCAATAAGTGCTTAGTGGCCCAAATAAAGCACTTCTTTTGAATAAAAACTTATTTTTAAGCACTCCCAAACATGGCCTAAGAAAAACTAAAAACTTGATTATCCTTTTTCACATTTAATTATCCTAAAACAACTAAGAGAAACTAATAAAACTTGATTTCATCTATTAGTTTTTCATTTATACTCTTTCTATTCATTTGGCCCGTAATTATTGAAATGTCTCTTCCATTATTCTATATATTTTGAATTATAAAAATGTATATAATAATATTTTCTATTAAAACATTAATACAATCGTTGATTATTGAGGCTTACACCTTTTTATGTCTCACTCATTGAGGCTTGAAGCTTATGTCTTAGGCCTCGTTTGATAACTCTTTTTAGAGGTCTGAACTCTAAAATATTTACTTTTAAGATGGTCAGTCTCGTTTGTATTGCATCTGAACGGGCAATCTGAAATGCTTTTTCAGATTTGAAAGCCATAGACATTGGCCTGGCTCTTAACATCCTCACACGCGTTTAAGAAGTGGCCAAAAGACGAAACTACTTCAACATTTTTTTTTTAAAAGACATGTTATGCCCCATTTTAAACCCAACCCTAAAACATTTATATTCTTCTCCGTCGAGGAAGATGAACAGTACACCTTCGAAGCTCTTTTCCAGGTATGTCTCAAATCCACATTCTCTGCTCATTTTGCTATTTCATGGTTGCAAATGCAAGGTCTCATCATTTTCTCCATTTTTTTAGTGTTTCAGTCGCCTATTGGGCCCTATCCAGCATTGAAGCAGCAGTGAAGGTGAGTTTTCTTCTTCTTTTTCTTCTTTGTTGTTGTTGTTTTTATTCCTTTGTTTCTCATTTTGGTTTTATTCTTCGTCCCATTAGGTAGTGCGAAGATTGTTGAGACATCATTCCTCTGTTTCTCATTTCAGAGGAATGAGAGCTATCAAGCTCTCATCATTCCTCTCTTTCTCGTTTCAGATATAACCAAACCAAGCTCAAGTCTAGAAAAAAAACAATGTGCATATTTAAGAATCCGTAGCACAAAGATTGTTGAGATTTAGAAGCGGAGAAAGATATTACCCAGAAAGGCTGTAATTTGAGTAAGGATGAGATGAGAATCCATGAAAAACACTCAAAAGTTCGAATAATAGCTGCAAAGGGCAGCAGAGAATCAGAGAACCATAAGGCCCATCCAGCAAGCACCACTCCTACCATTCCTTTCCAATGTGAACTTTGTTCCTTTTTTTCTTACCTTTCCCTCTAAACGGTGTAAAAGTGCAGAGGACTTTTCTTAAAGATCATCATTGAATATTGCTATATTCAAATCGATATCAATGAGCTTTTCTTCTTTTTCCACTCCAAACCAAGACTATTGTGTAATACAATTCATCAAAGTAATTTTTATTAAAATTTAATCATTTCATTTATTTTAGTAGTGATTAATTAATTATTAATTATTTTTAGTAATTATTATCAATTATTATGTATTTAATTATTTTTTTATTCGTGTTAGTTCAATATTATTAATTATTAATTAGTAACCATTAACTTTTATTGATTGTTTTAATTTTTATTAAAATTTAATCATTTTATTATTTTTTAATAGTGATTAATTATTTTTATTAATTTAATTATGTTATTTATTATTTATTAATTATTTTTAGTAATTATTATCAATTATTATGTATTTAATTATTTTTTTATTCGTGTTAGTTCAATATTATTAATTATTAATTAGCAACCATTAAATTTTATTGATTATTTTAATTTTTATTAAAATTTAATCATTTTATTATTTTTTAATAGTGATTAATTATTATTTTGAATTTAATTATGTTATTTATTATTTATTAATTATTTTTAGTAATTATTATAAATTATTATGTATTTACTTTTTTTATTCGTGTTAGTTCAATATTATTAATTATTAATTAGTAACCACTAATTTTTATTGATTATTTTATTTTTTATTATTTTTTAATAGTGATTAATTATTTTTATTAATTTATTTATGTTAATTATTAATTATTTTTCGTAATTATTATTTATTTTATTAATTTTTTGTATGATTTCAATATTATTTTGAATTTGATAAATTATTTTAAATGAAATAGTACAAATTGAATTCAAATTTACCAAATAGTTTATTCTAGGGGTAAAATAGTAAAATCAATACATTTCATATGTTAAAGGTTTGATCCAACATAAACAAGCTTAAGTATTCAGAGCCTCTAAAAAGTAGAAAAGCATCAATGTCTCTTTTCAGATTTCAGACACTTTTAATATCTTTTCAACTTTTCAGATTTCAAATTTCAGATTTATCAAACGCCACCTTAGTGTGGCAAAGGCTTGAGCCTCCTAAGCCTTGAGGCAAAATCTATCGCTTCAAGGCATAAGCCTCATGTCTCAAGGCTTAAGCTTTTTAAAGCAATGTTAAGGGTACTATGATTTTCATGTAGCTTGTCGTAGAAGGAAACGCTCTCTTTCGGGTGAGTGTGATGATGGTAGTTGTGACTCTACCGTGGTGGTCTTACTTCCACCCATTATTTTAAAAAGGCTTAAACCTTGAGGCGAGGTGCATAGATTTTGCCTCAAGTTTTGAGCCTTACATTAAAATGAGGCATGAGGTGCAAAAAGGTGTAGTCTGAAGTATCAATGATTATTTAGCAATTTAATGCAAACAAAAACATTTACAGTTGGGAGGGATAGTGTTTTAGTAACTCATTTACAGTTTGCATATGGCATTCTTATTTTTTGTGATGGAGAAAGTAGGGAGGGAGTGGAAAATCTGAGGATGGTTGTGAAACTCTTTGAGAGGATGTCGAATTTGAGGATTAATTGGTCAAAGAGGCAAAGAGCTTACTGGTTGGAGTCAACATTGAAGAGGATGAAGTGAGATTTCTAGCAAATTCCCTAGGCTGTGAAAAAGGTGTATGGCTAATGAAATACTTGGGTTTACCCTTTGGAGATAATCCTATATCTGCTAGTTTTTGGTCTCCGGTGGTGGAAAGAATAAAAAAATGCTTGTGAAAAAAAAATTATATCTCATTGGGGGGGGGAGGGGGGAGAATAACCCTAATTGAATCCACTTTAACAAACCTCCCAATATACTACTTGTCAGTGTTTAGGATGCCACAAGGGATAGTGAGGAAAATTGAAAAAAATCATGAGGGATTTTCTATGGGAGCCAGGGGAAAAAACGAATGATCATTTAATTAGATGGGAAAAGGTGAGGAAATTGAAAGGGCAAGGGGTTTGGGAATAAGTAATGTTAGAATGAAGAATCAGGCTTAGCTGAGGAAATGGCTCTAGAGGTTTCCAAATGAAAATGAGAAATTATGGCACAAAGTGGTTGCAAGCATTCATGGCATGTCGAGCAACGGATGGGATGCTGGATGTCTCTCTAGGGCTAACTTGGCTGCTCCCTGGAAGGCCATCCATGATGTTCTCCCTACATTCTTAAATTTTGTCAGGTATGATTGGTCTTCTGGTAGTATAATTAGATTCTGGGAGGATTTGTGGACTGAGGATACTCCTCTAGGGGAGAAATTTCCTTCTCTTTGTGATCTGTCTAAGCTCAAGGGTAAGCCTATTTTCGAGTTCCTAAACCATCATTCTCACCTTTCAGGATTGAATTGGAACCTTAGTTTAAATAGGAATCTTAGAGAATCTGAACTTCTTGCAATATCCGAATTGTTAGGATTGCTGAATTCAGTCTTCTTGGGGGAAGGTGGGTCAGATTCTAGAACTTGGGGTCCTAATTCTGATGGATCTTTTTCTTGTAAATCCTTTATACATTCGATGGTTGCTACACAATCTTCTCTTCATTTTCTAGTCAAAGAAATTTGGTGTCCTCCTATTCCCCTTAAAATCAATGCTTTTTGTTGAGAAGTTTTTCATGGTTGTATTAATACCTTTAATGTATTTCAAAGGAAAAGACCAAATTGGTGCTTGTCCCCTAATTGGTGTGTCTTGTGTAAGTTGAGTGATGAGATTGCTTTCCACCTTCTTTTATCATGCCCATTTGCCAATTTTATTTGGAATTTGTTTTCTTCCCTTTTTGGGTGAAGGTGGTCCTCTCTTGACAGGGTGAAAGGTTTATTCAACCCTAATGGTACTAATGGTTAGACAAGGAGGGGAAGGATTCTTTGGAGGTGCACTAGAGCAATAATACTTTTGACCACTTGGGAGGAAAGAATTGATAGAATATTTGAAAATAAAT